CAGACTTCTCTTTGAGCCCTGTAAGGAGGCAGCGTGCTGGACTTGTAGTCCGGTGTCCCGGGTTCAAGTCCTCCACCCTGCCACTCACTGGATTTGTTCTCGGTTGCCCCCAGTTCAACTCTTCGGCTGCGCTCTGTAAATGGCCCACTGGTCTGCCTCCTGCCAGTGAGGTTTTTCAAGCGCTTAGTTAGTCTACATTGCGGCTGAAAAGCTCTTATGGGGGAGCTTCAAATAACATATATTATTATTATTATAATTATGTACATACCGGCCATCTTTGTTACGCTCCAAGGCGAAAGTAAACCGACGGCAACGCCATTGGTATATTTACCTTCGATTGCCTACGTGTATTCCCGAGGCTAAATATGCAAACAGCGTTTTGCAATTATACTTCAGCGAAAGGGCCTGTTGTTCTTTCCTCTCAGGTAGATTTTATCACTGGCTAGTTGCTAGGCATTTAAATTCCTGGGATTCTACTTAAAGTTGGTGAATATTCCTAGAAGTTTGATCGACCATTGAAGGAACACAGTTTTCACTCAATAATTTCTTCGCTGAAATTCAATTGAGTCTTCGTTCCAAATTCATTGTTCGACCAACGATGTTAAAATCCATATAGGTCACGTTTCTTGCACTGGAAGAGCTTTTATAGGCCAATGCCGCGTAACTGGAAGCACAATCACTTTATTTCGTTTATACTTGCGCTAGCTGCAAGTTTATTTGTTATCATATCACTGATGTCGTTGCTGCCCCGTCACCTTCGCCGGCAGGAGGTGTATTTCCAGCCGATACCTTATACGAGGTTAGGAAAATGTGAGCTGAAACCAAATGGTATTATTAACTGCCCCGATATTCGCAGAAAAGGGTCGACATCGCTTCGACGAGCTCAACTAGACAAGAGTTCTTCGGATCTTCGATATCATTTCCAAGAAGCACGGCATTAAGTATTGGCTCTGTAAAGGAACTCTATTGGGAGCTGTTCGACATAACGGACATAATCCCTTTGACAGTGACGTCGACATTAGCATCCCCAAAGCAGACTATAAAACATTCATCAAGTACGGTGTCAGTGAGCTTCCAGATGATATGTTTTTCCAAACAGAGGACACAGATGTTCATTACAAAGCTCCGCCGCAGGGCGGGATGCTGGGGAAATTACGCGACACCGAAAGTTGTAAATAAACGCTGTTTGCGTAGCGGCTGTAAGGACGTAGATGGTCTAATGACAGATAAGTTAGTGTTTGAAAAGGACAGCGATGGAAACTTCATTGAAATTGTTCGGCCATGCCAGTTGGTTTTTTCGAAATGATATATGGACTCATAAAAAGAAAAGAAAGCGACATTTTCCCTTTGACAGAAGTGAATTTCGATGGCTTTTCCATGCCAGCTCCTCGCGAATGGAAGAAAATTCTTAAATCGTATTACGGCGATTTTATGAGAATTCCTCACAGAGAACCACCAGCCCACATTATCGTAGATGCACTACGGAGCTGCGAGGAAATCGTAAAATCGTGAGATAGAAGAACTATGAAGGTTGCGAACAATCATGTGAAATGGAATTGAAATTTAAATTAAACTCAATGTGGATCTTAATAGCAATGTACCCCCGGGAAGAGCGGGGTTTCCCCTCGTAATCCTTGTTGGGGATGTGCCGCCCCAGATCCCAACCCTTTTTCAAGTCAAAACATATCCTTTCAACGCACCTCAGGGCGCCTGACCACTAAAAATCCACTCCCGGTTTTCGGACTAAGTATCTCAGACACGGAGTTATTGTACTTTGTTTTCGAAACCATCACAGTTTGTTGTGACGTACTTAAATTTGGCCGAAGATAAGAATGAAAATCAAGTTGACTGATAAGCCAGCCCTTGATTAACCTTGAATGAACAATATCAATGCGCCAAAGTGGTCACCTGCAGTGAGAAGCATGTTGCGTTTCGAATCCCATCTAGATCTAGCATCTAAAGCGTTAAACCTTTTTCTTTTCTTGCTTACTTAATAAGGTCTTGAATTGTGGGATGCCATGCATGTGAAGCTAAATGCGGAATTTTTGCTTTAACTGGCGTCCAAATGAACGTTAGGACTGGCCAACTCAGTACCTCAGTACTAGGTCTCTCAGGGGGCAAATTGCTCGCGCGTCCTCGATCTTTGTTGTTGCAGAGTCGCGGAGAGCTTCGAAATTCTTTAAAGGTACATGTTTATAAACCTTTTTTTGGTGAAATTTTAGCACGCAATGGGAGAAAATATTTGAATGGTCAATGGTCAGGTGATGATTTAACCCTGATATCTACTTCTCAATGGCGGAGTGGTTTCTGAAGGGTGTTTACTTCTCCTGAAGTCATGTAGGAGTGAGGCCTGAGGAGAGCTTCATTTTTTATTCCTCAGTCCCCCCTCTTTCCCGTGGTTTAAGGATTTTCAAGATCCTGGTATCTACCGACAAACAAGCAAAGACAGAAAGAGACAAGGAACCACGAAATATGATTCTATATGGTGCGAAACTTAATGCGGAAACAGCAACGGATGACATTTCGTAACCTGCCAGCAAGATTAATTGTCGACAAAATTTTTAGACATTACAATTTTACCGAGAGCACGTTGCTTAACGAAGTTCTTGCAAGAAGCTGTTGAAAGTGCATTTCAATACATCCGGGAACCGCATTCTCTGAACGGCAATTTCTGAAGTCGTTAAGGCGGCAGTATTCTTGTTATTCTTTCCCTTTCAGCAAATTACTCAAGGAAGTTATAGAAGGAGAAATAAAAACAATCTATTTATTATAATCTTGTTGTCCTCTTGGATCACAGTCAACAATGCAAGACAGAGAATTAGTAGGGTTTCCGTATTTGAAACCGCGATGTATTAACAAACTTTTCACCCGTTTTGTTAGCCTATTTTGCGGTCAGCCGACACGGTTGAACTAAGGAGAAACGCTGTTTTTGTTTCCGATTTTCTTGGACTTTCGAGTAGGATTATTTTAAGCTTTGGAAATTACAATTTGCGTGATTAATTATGCATAATGAAGTCACGTCCCAGCTTGTCACGGAAAGCTTTCCAAAAATTTACGAAAAAAATGTTTGAAGCCTTTGTCAGAATGATTTGGGGTTTCCAATTCAAATTTCATTTCGCTTTGTAGAAGCTTCATAAAACTAAAACTCCCTAATTACACCGTAAATATTTAACATTCCTCGCTTATGTATGTTGGTGTTTCACAGACTTATGTTTGCAGAGTCGTTTTAGTTTTATGATATCATATTTTAATCTTACGGTTCTTGTTGATTTTAAAGGTCTTTAATTTGTTGGAAGTATAAAACCTGCCTCAGCCCATCATAAATATCAAGAAGAAATTGAAAACTCGTTGCTATTGTTGCCAAAGAAAAACAAGTTGCTTAAAATAGAAATGCCTCCACGAAGCGGCTTACCAAAACACGATCATCACACGCTAAATTTGCTTCCTCCATCGCACGTTTAGCGTCACTTGGGTGAGCAAAGTCCCTGTTTGGTCAGCGAGAAAAAAATGTTTTGTCCCGACAAGACAAAGCCTCTTTTGAATGGAGTTGACCTCGCACACCATTTATGGTCCTCTCGGCTCCAAATAGTCTGTGTTGAAGCACACCCATCATGAGGTTAAGATTACACAATAGCTGAAACTAAACCAAACGTAAATGCTTCGCTTGCGTCCGGCCTAGCAAGAAAACTTAATTGTTGTAAGTTTGTGTTAAGTGCCTATATCCAATTTGGTAGATTTTGCTTTTGCGTGTCTATGAGCACGTTTAGCCCGCCTGAGGGAACCTACCAATTTAGTATCACTCAGACAACTGTTTTGCAATATCTTATTGTTCAGCGCTTGGATGCATGACTTCTTGTTGAGAATTTGTCAGACTTAATTTGTGTTTATCTCAACAATCTGACACATGAGCAAGTTTTAATGGTGAAATCACTTTGAATGTTTCATTTTGACACAAAATTTTGTTTACCCCGGTCAGTTGAAACAACAAATCCTTTATTGGTAGAGCGCTGCACTAGTATCGTAGAGGTCAGTGGTTCGAATCCCGTACAGGCCTGATTTTTTTCAGGTCTGATTTTCGCTATTGCATAAATAGCGCTATCTACTGCGAGGATCGTGCATCATACGTATCTACTACCGCAGTTCAAAATATATGAACTTCATATATTCATTGTAACAAATCCTTTCTTTGGTTTTTTGGTTAACGGCGTTAGGATGAAGCATTCCAGATTCACATGTTGATAATGCAGTTATTTACCGATGCATGGGAAACACAAGCATTAATGATGTTTCTACGAAACGGAACATTGATAAAAAAAAATACTTTCGATAACATGCGATATTCTTCCCGTTTTTTATTAGTTTAGGCCTCCATACGGAAACCTCTAAACTCTTACAAGTAATCTTGCTCAAATTCTAGGAAAAACCGACAAACGAATAATAAATCGATCACAACTATTAAACACTGCTTGACGAAAAAGACATGCATGTACCATGGATCCTCAAAGTCTGAGCCGGAATGAGTTTTCTCTATCTACTCATGAGTTGCTTGGTTAGATTTCTTGTTTACGTGCAAGACGTTCTACGATTTCCTTGGCTACGTAATCCAATCCAATATTGCCACAATTACATTTGTAAACAATCATTTTGAAAGTATTCAGCAATGACCTCATCCGAGGTTTTTGGTAAGAATAGTTTCTCCACAGATACTGTCTACATTCTCGGTTGAAACGAGCGGAATCGATCTGGAAAAGAACTGTATCTAACCTTTGACTGGCATTTTAGCACCACAGAAAAGCTGAAGGTCCCGAAGTACTGCTATCAGTGAAGCGATTGACAGACATTTGGAACTCGGCGGACAATAACAGAAGTATATATTCATTCTGTGCTATTTATCGCATGTTGATTTTTTTCCTCTTTCGTTTCCATCTTTTCTCGTGGCGGTGAATAGTAAAGACAATTCGCAATATCGCGGTGTAATCTTATCAACACGATCCTCTCACTTTTTTTTTTTTTTTGCGTTTGTTGCAACGCTAGATAAAATATGAACAATGTCAGCCAGGGATCGAAGCTGTCAGTAGTAAGAAAATACTCCAGAATACTCTTAACTGTGGGAGTCAATAGAGGTGAAATTGCCGTTTCAGGTCAGTTTTAGCGAAGAAAAAGTATACAAGAGTGTACATAGCCCCTCGCCGAGCTGACAAATTCAAAGGCTGCCTATACCTATACGAAAGAATAATTCGAATTCGCCACTTGTATTGGGAAATTTGAAATTCGATAAGTTTTCAACCCTTACGTGTGTAAAAGGCAGATATCAATAGATTGATACATTTTAAGTTACTATTTTCTGTACGTGCAGAGGTTTTCACTTTTCAGATTTCGAGCCATACTAAATTTTCAAGTTATCGAACCGTGTTAATCATCTTCGCGAGAATTAAAAATAAATGGTAAAATGTTTATACCAAATTTACTTTCGTAATTTTACTTGTTAATTAATTCCCAAGTGCTGGTTTCTCCGATCCCAGTCATTACGAAGGTTTCTAACCCCCTTTCAAGTTTATTTGGGAAAATAATGAATACGAAGGCATTGCAACGATACTGCAAAACACTAAAACTTGCTTTCAATGATTGAAAGCCAACATCTCAGTATATATTTATATAGCCAAACAAAGACTACGTTCCACGGGCCATTAATATTGATTAAGCGAAGTAACGTTTTTTTCCCTTGAAACACTGGGTGGTGCGTTTTTGTTTTAAGCCAAGAATCGATACATGCATGTCTCAAAATAGACTTGTGAGCTGCTAATATTTATCAATATATTATACTGAAATACTAGAACTTATCAACAAGGAATAAAGTTCATCTACCGCAATCCCAGTTAAATTTCATTTAGGCTAGGTTTGTCCTGAATTTCATTTATTTCCGCTGAAACTAAAACAGGCCGTTACTATTTTTTTTTCTTCTCAAGCCATACATACTGACACAATTTTTTCCTTCCTTGAAAATAAATCCGGACCGACTTTTTTAAAGGTGACAACAAAGTTTGTCCAACTAGCGGCCTAGTGCTAATTCTTGGGAATCCCTGAAAAAAAAAACAAACCTGGAAAACTGGGTTTCCTAATAAAAAAAAGAAAATGGGGGGTACAACAACTGTATTAAGAAAAGAGTTTGATATTTAAAGCGCTACAAGAAAATAAAATACAACAAAAAATATATATATATATACATGTTCATTCAGCACCGCCAGTCATAATAATCTATAAAAAGAGTTCTGCAACCAACTGCATCCCATAAGGAGTTTTGAAGGATTTTAAGGACTTTAAAGTGTCTGGAATTCAAATTTAATCGTCATTGATGAAATTTTGCCAAATTCAAATTTAGTGATGTACTCACTTTCAAGGAGTCAACTTGTTGAAGTCGCGTACGTTTTATATTGTTTATGGAAAAAAACATAACAGTTAACCAACCAGAAGTTGACATCTTATATCTGTGTGTTCTTTGTATTAACAAAAGTAAATACATAAGTATGTAAATCAGTTAATATTTCTTTTAAAAATAATCCTTGTATATTAGCTCCGCTACGTGACAAGACGGGTAACCGGAAAACCACGTTTCGACGAAACCGGAAACGAATCACTACAGCGCCCTCGGCACCTTCGTTGATCATTCGTTCCTCTTTAGAAAACCGATTGAAATGCGAAGAAAGTTCTTTAATTTTCGAGGCAAATATGCATCGAAATATGCTCTTGCGACAATCGTTGAAATCTCGATTTGTCAAAGTAAACACATTATGCTGATTAAATACAACAGACGTAACGATTCAGCGATTTTCAATAGCAAGGGACAAAAGTTCGATTTTCCCAATGCAAATTTTTGGATAATTGTGCCGTTTGCCTAAAGCGAAAACGGTTGTCTTGATCTTTAGTCAATGCAACCTAACCGTGTTGATGTTTTGAATACTGCCGCGAGAAATATTTCCATAATCCTCAGAAATCCAATATTTTTTACGGTCCAAGTCGCAGATTCAGCGCGAGATTTCGCCGATATCACGAAAGGAAACATTCCTAAATGAAAGCCCTTCCCTAGCAATTTTCATACCCTGCGTGGTAACCTTTAGTCACTTTTTACTATTAATTAACTCTTTAGGTAAATTAGTAATTACTTGCCCGTAGCTACTGTGCCAGTTCACGGGTCGGTATGCAAAAACGCCTAGATATCGTAAATCGAATTGAAACGGAAGTTGGTGCCCATAAACAATCTACATGGAGTTTACTCCAACGATTTCAACGTTTTTCTCTTCATCTGTCAGTTGATATTTTATTGTCCATCAACAGTTCGACCCTGCGAATCTTTGATAACCATTCCGTTCGCCAAACGTTCTCAGATTTCATGAATAACCTGAGGCGATGAAAGAGCTACCCCTTCGCCATTGGCGGAGCACAGTAACTATCATACGATATTGAGTGTTTAGTTCCCTACTCTTGGCAGCCATTCAAGAGTGGCTTCACGCATGCAAAATTGTAAACCGAAACGTTTCAGCGCCCAACCTTGTCAAAACGACCCCTCAATGCCTGGCATATTTGTCGCGAAAGTCGCGCCGATGTTATTGCACAAGCGACTTTATCCAAAGGTGCGCACCGCCCCCAATATCCCAGCTCCTAATCCAAATCAGTACACAGGTTAATACACAAGTTATTTACAAAATTTAGAGGAACCTTTATTGAATCGCTTTCCAAAAAACCGTTCCTATTCTCAAAAACAACTTCGGTTTTGAATCAGACGTGCACATAACACTCCCAAATATGCAAGTCGATTATAAATTATCTACGTTTAAATTACGACCATGTAAATAGGCTATATATTAAGAAATTACTTCTGTCATCTTCTACCTAACCGTAACAAAAATTATGGATTTTGATTCAAAATTCGGTAACAAAATAGCAACTTATCGCTTGATATTATAAGTTAAATAAATAATATATTAAATAGATAGGAATTGAAAGAGGTAAAAGAGAAAAAAAAAAACGTCGACAATATAATTTTAGCTTCCATTATTCACAGGCTTTACAATATACAGTGGCAATTATTGACCAAATATAAAACGTGTACGAAAAACTTACACTTAGGAATTTTGTGTTTCACACTAGCAATTCCGTCGATAATTTTCTTTTTGTTTCCGTCGATAAATAAGCTATAGGACCTATAGAAACTGCTTGATGCATATAAATCTGTGCTTTAGTCCCGATCATAAAAATATGGTTAATTGTATAATAATATATATATATATATATGTATATTCTTGTGTGCCCTATTTTGACGTGAAAATAATAACTGATTCTCCAGCGTTTTGTTGACTTGATCAGTCTTTAAATGTTAAATTACAAATCTTGTGTACAAACGTGAAACTACTAAAAGCCAATTTTTACAACCTCATTCCGGCACGGACATTCTGTTGAACACAGGCAAGCGCCTTCGGCTGGCCAAATCATACGAGTCTGGCGGCGTCGGGGGAAGATTTTCATCATCTTCGTCCAAATCATCTTCTTCGTTGAGCTCTAACCCGGGCGAAAAAACTCCTGGAGGGCTAGCCATGGTCGGGGAAAGAACAGGCGAGAAATCCTGAGCTTTAGGTGGGAAGGTAAAGACGTTGTTTGAAGCGGGAGAAGGAATCGCTAAGGGGCTGTTAATGGGACTTCCCAATGGGCTGTCGTCGTGATAAAAGGAGAGCGGAGAAGGAGAAGGAGGAGTTAGAGAAGTAGGTAATGGCGAGCTTGGCTCTGTCAGCGGCGGCGAAGGTGGTCCGATGAGTGGTGATGGCGGAGACATTCGGGCACCATTCATCATCTGTGCAGCCCTTCGTTCTTCAGCATTATGAATGAAGTGGCATCGCGGCCCATAAGGACAGAACCCGATCGTGTGAAATGTACGGCACAATTCAGTTTTGTATTTAGGGTGGCGACTAAGCGAGCGCAGTTCGTGAACACCGTGAGCGAATTGGCATTTGTCTCCATACTTACAAGTGCCGTTTTCTTCGAAAGGGCGACAAAGTTCGGTCTTGTACCGGCTGGAGTTTGAACTGGTTCGTCTTCGCTCCTCATCGGCACTCAAACTCAATGAGCGCTCTCGTTTGTTTGGGGAACCTGTCAACGTGATCAGATTTGGCGAGGAGCGAGAGCTTGAAACAGAAGTCGAATGTCTTCGCGGCTGGCCTATAGGAAGTGGCTTTCGTTCGCTTCGTGGTCTTTGCTCAAACGCCAAGCCGAGATTTCTGTTATTCTGCAGAAGAAAGCGATTAACATGTTGACGTGAGATCAGAGCGGCAAAGCGACTTTCAAAATTGCTCTTAATCACCTCGCACAAAAGCTTCTACTTTAGAGACATCGCGAAATGACTAGATGCAATTGTTTTCGCGTAAAGTTCTAAAAGAATACGACAACGGTAACTAACCTTGTATAACACGTCGTTCACGTCATAAAACGCGGAGACAAGGGCAGTAGACATGTTGCTACCTTGAGGAGTCTAAATAGACTAACGCTTGCCGTACCTTCGATTGCCTTTTTGCTTTTCCACCGATTTGCTGAACTGTGATAACCCACGAATATAAAATGCAGACGTGAGAGGTGTGTCATCTTGGTGTCAAAAAGATAATGATTTCTATGGCAACATAATTATCATAGACCACGTGGTAAGGGCTGGGGTTTGCAACTGAGCGCGACATTTAGCTTGGTTTACGCTCATAGCGTTCTAGTATTTTTGCATTAGTCGATGTTTGACGTATCTATTCAGGCTTTTCAGGATTCAAGCACTGGAAAATTGTACTAGGAGTTAAATAAACGCGATCGGGGAACAGACAAAAAACACATCCTGTTCTCGTCCCTTTGTTTACAGAAGCCAATAAATGTGTATTTGCGTCATTATTCACGGCGGGACACTGATTGGCTCTTATGGCTGGCCTGTCAATCAAGAATAACGTTCGAAAGTGAAACAAATAGTTGTCTGCAACGACTTGATCGAGAAATTTTTTTTATCCAGGAAAGCGTGTCCAACAATGGTAATTGTCAATTTCCTATGTTGAGACGAAATCTACTCGATACTGGTCGCCTCACGCGATATTTTTTAATGAAGCGGAAAAACAAAAACAAAAAAAAATTCCCTTCTAAAGCCAGCGATGATCTGTTCTTTGACACGTGATCCGACCGCAGTTAAAATCCAGCAGACAGAATCGCACTTCAACTGTCAGAGATTTAAATAAAAACAAACAGAACCGCGATCGCTCTCGTCTCTTCATCTTTAAATGCAAATCAAAGTTTCTTGCCGATTGGAAACGTCAGATACCCTTTCCGCACCTTAAACGAAGCTTTTCTTTATTTCATGCTTCACTTCTTAAATTTAGCACTCTTATAAAATCTCTTGTACAGTCATTTGAAAGGTATGGAAATTAAATCCCCTCAGTAACTTAAAATAGCCTTGAAAGCAGTTCTGTTTTGTCATTATTCGGCGTGTCAAAACGGCTTCCGAAAACAACGTAAAAAGTGATTAATACAGCTTAAGCCAATCAGGAGGAGCACAACGTGCGAAAACATTCGTGGTGTCAGGTCACAGAACTAAAACGCTCACAAAGGCTATAGAATCTTGTGTTCGCCGACTGTTTCAAAATATCGTCTCACCACACAATTAAATCAAATTAAAGCATCTACCCCTCCAGCCAATGCATGCCTGATCGCCTTGCATTGAATCTGTTGCCCCTTTCGTGTCCAAAATATTGGCTCCAACCCGGGTAAAAATACCGGTTGAATTGAAATGCGATCTCCGGAAGATTGATAATTTGATTTTGTCTTGTGCGAATCAACTCAGCGATAAGGTGCTGGTTTTCACACCAGAATGCGTGCGTTATGGTATAAGGTTTTGCATACATTCTCGTTTGGCCTTTGTATTCAAAACACTGAAATTAGCAAGTTAAACAATCAGAAATCTACCGCAAAATAAAAACAACAAGACAAAGTATGAATATGTAATAATATAGGCCTGCAGGCCCTTGGAACGCTAACATTAATTTTGGTCGAGATTGCAACCGAATACGCTAGTGTTTGTGCGTATATTGTGCTTATCATGCAAAAATTGCGAAAAGAAGTAATTTACGAAAAAAGTTCTCATATCAAGTGATTTCTAAAATAAGAACTATCACGGCAAAGTACTCCGATCTGAATGAATCGTGCGGAAACTCTAAGGTTCCACGACCTCGAAAGTCATATAACATTATATTCCACGAAAGCAGATGGAAGTCTTCATCACGTAAAAAGAGTAACGATTATTCTCGTATCTTGTGACATGCAACCTGACCAGTCGGAAGTAGCAGCCGCAAGCATAAACGTCTCGCACATTTTTCATTGCAAGGGTGCCACAGTTTAGGAATTTTCTGCGAAGCCTTGTCGAAGTCTTGACTTTGGCAGACATGGAGAAACCTTCGCACACTTAAGAAGCCGACACAGGCTTCGCGGTCAAAAGACTGAAGGTATCGGCGTTTCGTGAAGTCTCGAATATTTTCGTTCGTCATTCATATCGGTGCTCTCATGTAACGCCCCCTCGTTTTCGTAAACAAAACGGCGAGGAGTGGTACCGTGACGTAAGCTATAAATATGAAAAGTTGGCGCTTCTTCAATGACCGTGCACCGTAACAATGACACGTACAAAAGTATCTGCAGTGGGGGCTGGGTACTAGATACTTCTCAAGTGCGAAATCCTAGTTATTTGAGCCTGTTTAATGACAAATGCACAAATAGATTGAAGGTGTCAATTCGAGATCTTCATATTTCTCTCTTTGGACATTTCAGTTTTCGTGAGTAGGTTAATTTTAGAATACTATGAAATAGACGCTTGGTTTTTCTGTCATGTACTATTTAAAAAATGTTGCGGACTACAACTAGTGTCAATTATGAATTTAGTCACAAAATAACTGAGATACTGCAAGTTCCCTGATTGGTCGTTTATTGCGCTGGTAAAGACATACAAACTGATCGTAACGTAATGAGGTTTGCTTCAAGTTTATTCCCTGAAAAGCAATAGACTGCTCCTTTTCTTCGTTTACCGGCGTAATAATACACATGAAATATTACGTGCGTCTGATTGGCTTAAAACGAGTGAGCGCATTTTTCAGGCCACACGAGTGCAATGTTGTAACACGAATGCAAAGTTGACCAAAGTTGTAAAACGAATGCAAATTACAAATAGCGATCGCACGCTGTCAAAATTTCGTCTGTTTTGACTTTGTGGGGTGATTTTTTTTTTGTTTTTGTTTTTTTTTGTTTTTTGTTTTTTGTTTTTTTCATGTAAAGTATTAACAAGTTACAACACGATTTCTCGTGCAATTTCATCTAAATAAGCACTTGCGGTAAATTTTTCAACGACTACAAACGGGCTGGTCCAATTTTTGTTGTCTTTCAAATATTTACTCGTGCTTATTGACATCAAATTTCACTGGAAATCATGTTAGTACGTACACTAATTCATTCGTCTCCGCCTCGTGCTTTACAAACTTTTCAATGTTTTCCCAACACCGCAATGGGTTATTACGCCAGGAAACCGATTTAATGAGCGCTCTATTGGTCTATTGCTTAAAGAAAACTTACGAACATTTTCCAAGCCGTTGAAGAGTGTTACGAGAGAGAAGTTATTTTGCTTCAAACGTGAAAATTCTCATGAATTACTCGTGCTTTTTATGATGTACGGTCACTCGTGACATTCGAAGGGTTTTGAAATTCACTTACCTAGAGCTCATGCAATTGGTAACATTTTCAAAGTATCATACTAGCTGTCCAAAACCTCGAAAGAACAATTGCGACTGCGAGTCTCAACGTGCGTGAACAATCATGCCCACTAGTTTAGCCTTTTTTGTTTCTATTATATTCCTATTTCTTTCTTTCTAAGCATTTGACTTTATCTCTGATTCCACATTGCATGAAGAGTTAGTATTTCCGGTCACAAATTTACCATTTAAAATCTTTGCCATCATTGAAGATGGCTGACTTAGTCTACCCAAAAATTTTAGAGCAAAAATTAAAAAAACATTCCCCATTGTATAAGCCTAGTTTTCGTTTGGAATCAAATCAAATTTTCAGTGCGGTCTAAAAATTGTTGTACTAATTCTTTAATTGCCCTTTGGAAGGAGGAGACCTAAGTTCCACCTGACTGTCATAATACCGGGGTTTTCCCCAACCTATCACAGCACTTGAATTCTTTTTCAGCAGGTGCGCATATCCACAGCTATCACGCTAAGGTTGTCAAGATAGGGCAAAACCTATCTTTTTTTACAAATTGTTTCAAACATGTCTAGTAAAACGATTACTGAATTCAAATTTGCTTTTCGCATGATATCATGAAATATCAAACCTCGTGTGTGTGATAACTCAGACCTCGAAATTGATAATTAAGATATCATGCTAAACCTCATCCAATAATTGCTTATTATTGTTATCATCATTATTATTACTATTATTATTATTATCTTTTCAACTTGTTTCTTTTGAAAATCATTACTGTATTATTATTATTGTTATCATCATTATTAAACAAAGCGTGTATCCAATAGCTATTCGTGGATTTTTATCAGCCATTTTAATGCATTTTTCGATTTTTTAAGCGTTTATCATAATTTTTGTAAATATTTTTAATGATTAGAATGAAAAAAGGTTTATCATTTTTATAAAAATATCATTATTACCATTATTACTATTGTTACTATTTTTATTATTATCATTACATTAATATTATGCTAATAGCATCAAAAACGGGATTGTAGTAAAGCCTCACCTTTCACACTGGCGATGACCTGGTGGTCAGCTCTGTCAGCCGACGTGCTGGGTTCATATAGATTTTGTTCTTGTGGTTGGTTTTCACTAATGCCTGAGTCATGGTCACAGTCATTATCGGACATGCAAAGCAATATCATCCGCTTAAGATAAAATTGACAGAATCGGAGACAGCAGAACGGTGCTTTTTGTAACTCCGTACCTTGTGATCTGTAAAAACTAAACTGTTGGAGTCGAAAGCCATCAAATGGCCTAAGAAAAAATGGCGCCCCTGTTACGAGCTACCCAGGAAAGAAAAAGGAAAACCAGCAAGCTGCCAGGGAAACCCGCAGTAGACCAGCCCCCCACCCCACACAAGTGTCGGTATTTCTAGGTGATTCATGCGTGTTCATTCTCCCAAAAAAGCAGTCCCGTCCAACTTCCAAAACCACAGGGACTTCCTAACCCTAAGGCCATGACTGCATGGGCTGCTTGACCTGCTCTGCTGGTCACTTCCTCTCGCGATTAGCGGATCTCAAAGAGACATGCCCTTCAAAATAACAAGATTTGTTTATTTTAAAATTCTCTCTCTGAAGAGGTTCACTTGCAAGCCTCGAACTTTTTCACTTGACCTTGTTTCCATGGCTTGCGTCCAAATGTCCCGACTGCGACCTTCTACTACGGAAATGGCTATTTGCAGATTGTTCAAGGCTTTGATGTCTTAGATTATTATGAGAGATTTGCTCTGAAGAACAAAGCACATCATCTCATTTAAGTTATGCATTTCTAAGGTTTATCCCTGAA